TCTTCCTAGTCTGTCTTCGTCTGGAAGCTCATCTGAAACCTGCCCACCATGGGTGACCCTGCTGGTATTTAAAATACCGGAGGCATAGCTTCCTGAATCACAGCAACTCATGAGCTACCACAGTACGGCAAACTGACAGAGTGGTGGAACCTTGAATATATCACACCTGAATTTAGAGACCATCTCAAGACCAGATTTGACCCATTGGACACTAATGACCAGATGAATTGTGGAGTGACATCAAGAACATCAGACATGAAGAAATCAGAGGTCATAAAAACACAGGAGAGAAAGGAAAATCCTAAATGGATATCAGGAGCCTCTGAAACTTGCACTTGAACATAGAAAAGCTAAAGTCAATGGAAGAAATGATGAAGTAAAAGAGCTGAACAGAAGATTTGAAAGGATGGCTCAAGAGAAAGTAAAATATTAAAATGAGATACATAAAGACCTGACTTAAAGAATTGAAGGGAAAATTCAAGCCTTAAGTTGTAATACTGAAGGGTTCTATGAGGAAAAAATTGAATGAGACAGGAAGCATCAAAAGAAGATGGAAGGAAAACGAAGAGCTATTGTGTCCAAAAGAATTGGTCAACGTTCAACCATCTCAGGAGGTAACATGATCAAGAAGCATGGCGTCGAAGGAAGCACCCCAAGCTGCACTGAAGGCATGGGTGAAAAACAGGGCTCCAATACTCCTGCCCTCATGGCGAGTTGTGAGTTCATAAAGCTGCGACCCACCTGGGACTCTGGGGAAAGAAGGGATTCAAGGCAAGGTCCCTGCTCTTCTCTTTCCCTGTCAGCCACGTCTACCTGCTCCCCTCCATGGTCTTAGACCCTGTTTCTACACCTGTGTTCACTGAGGTCGGGGTGCCTCCTGCTCAGCCAGCCTGCAAGACCCACCTGCTGCTCCACTGCTGGCCAGGACAGCACAGCCTGCTAATGATACCCCTAGGTTGGGCACGCTGATGGGGGAGCTGAGGTAAGAAGGTTAGAACAAGGGAAGCCCATGGGACCCTGCCGAAGGTCCAGGAGGCCAGCCAGTGGGTGAACGAGGAGGTGGCCAAGATGAAGGTGCCAACCAACTAATCAATCAAACCAATCAATCAAGCTGATCACGTCAACACGCAAACACAAATGAACCAAGAAATAACTACAGATGAAAAAAACAATGACGCCCTGTAAACTTTCACTCAATCCAAAATAAAACCATTTAATAATAATAATAAAAAAGATCATGGAATTTTTCCTCAAACTTTTTGTAGCCCCATCATGTCATGGGTTTTGTTGGACTTCCTCATTTTGAATAGCATCAATTAAATGTATTAGCAATACTCCACATGACTTCAGCTGTTAATAAATCAACATTTGTAAGCAAAAAGAAAAAGAAAAAAACAGTGACTACTTGTATTTATTCCTTTTTTATCTGCAGTTATTTAACCTTACTTTAACTTATTGTTATTTGATTAATTAACTGATTAATTGGTTTGATTGATTTGTTCTTTGGTACCTGCATCTTGGCCAGTTCTGGTCCACTCACTGACCCTGATAGCACAATAGATTGCAAGGTCAGCAGTTCAAATCCACCAGCTGCTC